TGCCGTCGAAAAAATCAAAGTGATCTCGTTTCAAATTATGACGATTCTGATTCACTTCCATTTCTTTGAATTCCGTTTACGAATTCGACACCGACTTTGCTTTGCGCGCATTAAGAGTGTAATTCGTTTCAATAAAGTGATACGAAATGGATGGGATGTGCTGCCGAAGGTTTTGTCACTCAAGTATTTGATTTTATGCTTAAGCTTTTAATTCAAGGGAATACATAGTCAATCCATCACAATCTCAACGGTGACAGCAAAATCCAAGTGAAGAGGCGATGTGACTCTAACTTTCAGATGAGAGGATACTTTCCTGGTCACCGGGGATGATTTCGGGAAGATTACTGTCGTAGTACGTAATCACAAGGTCGACGCATGGTCGTCGATGCTGACATGGAAAGATAAGTGATATGAATTTATTTTATGGAGATTAAATGATGGATTATGTTTTTCTTATTAATCATGTGATGTCCTTGATTATATTGATGATGACGAGGATATTGAGGATCCTTGTATGCTTTATCTTCCTTGAATAACAAGAACTTATTTTCAATTTTATTGTTTATTTGCCGTTTTCCTTTAATTGTTTGTTTATTATTGATTAAGCAAATAGAAAGATTTTGGAATATCATTATTTATCATTTTATGATGGATAAATTTAGGACTGGACTCAGATGATGATGCATATGACCAAATTTCAAGTTAATTTATCTCTAGCATAATCGACTCCGTTTGGGCTATGTGCACTTAATGTCTCTGACCAAAGTTTAAGTTAATTTACCTATGGCATAATTGGATTTGCCCGGGATATGCGCACTTGATGTCGCTGGCCAAAGTCCAAGTTTATTTACCTCTAGCATAATCGACTTCATCCGGACTATGCGCACTTGATGCCTCTGGCCAAAATCCAAGTTAATTTACCTCTGGTATAATCAGATTTTTTCGGGCTATGCGCACTTGATGCCTCATGCCAAAGTCCAAGTTAACTTACCTCTGACATAATCGGCTTCGTCCGGGCTATGTGCGCACTTAATGCCTCTGGCCAGTCCAAGTTAATTTACCTCTGGCATAATTGGCTTCGTCCGGGCTATGCGCACTTGATGCCTCAGACCAAAGTCCAAGTTAACTTACCTCTGGCATAATCGGCTTCGTCCAGGCTATGCGTACTTGATGTCTCTGGCCAAAGTCCAAGTTAATTTACCTCTGGCATAATCGGCTTCATTCGGGCTATGCGCCCTTGATGCCTCTAGCCAAAGTCCAAGTTAATTTACCTCTAGCATAATCAGCTTCGTCCGGGCTATGCACACTTGATATCTTTGGCCAAAGTCCAAGTTAATTTACCTATGGTATAATCCGCTTCATCCAGCCTACGCACACTTTATGCCTTTGGCCAAAGTCCAAATTAATTTACCTCTGGCATAATAGACTTTGTTCAGGCTACGCATACTTGATTCCTCTGGCCAAAGACCATGAGCATGTTAAGACTCTTGGCATAAAGCCGTATGGGTAACCATTTCTCGGCTATACAAGTAACTCCATGATCATGAAGGTAACCACTCCCAAAATACATCAACTCCCTTGGGACTCTGAACGTCAGTCATGTGAAGTTAACACACCTCTTACTTTAAACGGTTTGGTTATCTTACCACTGGCTAAATATCCGACACGATCTACTCGAAGTTAACTGGTTTGTATTCGAGAGACCCCTCAAAACATTAAGGCTCGGCGCCGGGGCTTAAAACTTATACAATACAAATTCCAACTATAAAGATAAGCTGAATCGCTCGGAGCCTGCCAATCTTATCTGATTTTTATTCGAACAAATAAGTTGTTATCAAGGACATAAAAATGTATTAGGACTACATATCCAAAAATATTAACATGGTCCCAAACCATCTCATAAGAGCTTAATTCACGTTTAAAAACGAATTACTGATTTGTTTAGAATCATTATCCTATATATATTCCGTCCAGGGTGTGTGAGTTCGACTTCTATAGTCTGGGGCTTACAAGATCTTATTTAACCCGATTACTATGAGGAAACCCGAATTTCCACAATATTCGAAACCTATGTGAGAACTCGAAATCTAAAAACAAAACCAAGTGATCTTACCTGATCAGAAAGAAATCAATAGTCTGTCACGCGTCGTGAGCTCCTGTGTTCACCGGTGTTGAAGAGGAGAAGGGGGTGTACCTGCAAGGTACTCTGATGCCTAAGTGAGTAATGGAGTTTAAAAAGAGCAAGTACATAGAGAATATGTGTGTAGAATAGAATACCTGACTCTATAGTGAAAGAAGGTATTTATAATGTGCCCTAGCGTAGGGCCAACAGTTACTTTGCATTGGGTCGGATTGCAAGGTCCAATACGAGTAACTGTCAGGGATTACATGGCGTAGAGAATACCAACACGTGGTCTTCGCCCTGGATCAACTGTCCCATGATCTTCGGAAGGTGGGCTGACCAACTCTTTCGGAAGTGGGTAGTTGTCTGATGAAGTGTCCCCGCATGGGAGGTACGTAAAGAACGTGGGGAAGATGCGTGAGCTCTCCCCGTGCTAGGTAGTGGTTTGCCCGATGACAGAGTTGGGCGTACCCGACATGGGAGGATTGAGCCTTATTGGGCCTCCCCAACATAGAATTAGGTTGGGCTTGCCCGACAGTCGGGCAGGTCTCGACTCAATCCAGAACAGGAGCCGCCTAAGTCGTTGCTCTGAGGCAAATGAGTAATGAATTAAGAGCTAGTTAGAGTGTCGATAACCATTTTGGAGGATGGACAACTTGTCCGGCATATAAAGTCGGGAGTCGTACGCGTGGTCAGGAGTGAGAGATGCTCGACAAGATAGTAGGTCGCGGGGAGATCTGTTCGTCGACCGTACTATTGGCCCCTCTTCCCCTCTGGGTATGTCCCTGTTTGGCGTTTTGGTCGACGATATGGCGAGGGTGGAAAGGGAACGAGCATGCTTGGTCTTCGGGCACGCGGGGAAGCTGAGAGGATGCACGTGGTGTCATTTAGCGCCACGTATCACGTGTAATCAATGCTTAGGACGGTACGTGTAGGGGAACTTGAGTTCCTAGTGTTGCCTCACTTCCCGTGCCAGGATTATAAATAGGAGGAAAGCCTCTCTCATTTTCATATTTCCCCGTCACATCCACTGGAATTCTCTCCGAGTTCTTCAGATCGCGCCTGTTGTCGTCGTTGCTGTCACCACTCTCCGTCATCTAGATCCTCTTTTTTCAAGTAAGTTTTCGTTTCCTGTTTCTAGCGTTATGAGTTTTCCGATAACTCCCACGAAGTTTTCGGCAATGGTATGAATTTTCTGGCCAAACTATGAAGTTTCCGGTCAGAACACTGGGAAGTTCATGAGGATTCTAGGAGCTTCATGAAATTCCCGATGAAGGTCCCAGGGACCTGCGATGAAGGTCTCGGGGACCTGCGATGAACGCCTCGGGGAGCCTTGTTCCTCGCAAGCGTGCGACTATCGCGGGGAGGTATCACTCAGGGTCTCCCCGCGTATGTTGGGGTCTTTCTAATTGGGGAGCATCGCTGTCGGGGAGGCTCGCTGTGTCAAGTCGACGGAGGGTTTCTTCTAGGATGAGCCTTCGTTGAGGAGGGGGTCCGAGATTCCCCGTCCCTCCCTTCGCCTTTTCACTTGATTTACGGTGGAAGGGTGGATTTGATATTTGAAGTCGAATTCACCGTTTTCCTCTACTTTTCAGGTAAAATGGATGTAAGGATTGAGGGCGTCCTCAATATTGACGACGAGTCTGAGCCCGACACTCCCGTTGAGGTCGAAGGAGCTGAACCAGTTCGCATGCCCGAGGACTAGGCCGGGCAGGAACCTCTCACTATAGCGTCGCATTCCTCCGCGAGCTGGATGGTCTATAAACCCAAGGAAAAACACTGCATCTGCTCGAGTTTCAGGGAGATGAGGTTTTCAATGTATGAATTTGCGTTTTGGAAAGCGGGGATCCGCCTCCCCTTCAGTGATTTTCAGGGGGGAGTGTTCTGGTGGCTCCGCCTCGCACCTTCGCAACTAAATCCTAATGTCATAGCGCTCGTACGGGCGTTTGAGCTCGTATGCGAGTATCTCGGTGTTGGGAGTACACTTCCCCTGTTCTTCCGCACTTCCCACCTTCAACGTCAATCCTTCGAAGGTAGGCACAATTGGGTATCCTCGAAGCAGCCGAGGAAGTTGTTCCAGGCGTATCAAGATTTTGTCTGCACCTTTCAGAACAAGTTTTACATTGTGAAGCTCATGCCGCACGTGACCGTCAACTCTCTGTACGACCTTTCAGGACAAGTTTCATATTTGGTACACATAACACTTGATTGATATGAAAAAATTTGTGTTTAGTGTTCAAAGTAGTGTGACCAATGTGAGTAATTTCCAAACCCGTGTCATCACCAACTAATACCCTAATACTTTATCTAAATCAGAGTAGGAATCAGCCAAAGAATGGGTTATAAAAACTTCTAATAAAATATTATTTTAAATATTTTATCTTTTTACTATAATTTTTATTGAAATTTAAAATTATTTCAAATAACTTTTTTGTAAAAAAAAATATTTTTTAGAAAACTATATTTAAAAAATTTAATAATATTTAACTTAATGAATATTTACATTACTCTTTATAGATGCATTACAAATACGTTTATAATATTTGATTTGGACATGCTTAAATTAAGCCTTTAGCAGGCAATAAGTTGATTATATAGTCAAATTTTCACTTTCATAATCCAAAACTTTTCCATCGCACATGGCGTTGTAACTAAGGGTCACAATCAACAAAATTCTCCCAGGCACGTTTAGTCAATCATAGAAGAGAATTTTGTTTTAAGCTTGTAAACTGAAATTGAATTTTGTTTTGCCTATTATAAATAGCACTTTATTCTTGGACTACAAGCACCACACATCTTTCTCACATTTCACTGCTAACTAATCAACCTTAGAGCAGTTGTTGCTTGTTCTCGGTTTTGTCACACTTCACAAGCTACCATGGCTGCCAATAATCAATTATATCATATTTCATTGGCATTGCTTTTTTGCTTTGGATTGTGGACTATTCAAGTCACTTCTCGTACTCTCCAAGATGATTCAATGTATGAGAGGCATGAGCAATGGATGAGTCAATATAACAAAGTCTATAAGGATCATCAAGAAAGGGAGAAACGTTTCAAGACATTCACCGAAAACGTGAATTACATCGAAGCTTTCAACAATGCTGAGAATAACAAATCATACAAACTAGGCATTAATGAATTTGCAGACCTCACTAACGAGGAGTTCATAGCATCTAGGAACAAATTTAAGGGACATATGTGCTCCTCAATCACAAGAACAACTACTTTTAAATACGAAAACGCAAGTGCAATCCCTTCTACAGTGGATTGGAGAAAGAAAGGGGCAGTGACACCTGTGAAGAACCAAGGACAATGTGGTAAATATCTATCTTAACAAGTAATGCATTTAATTCTACATGTAATAATAAACTTGACTGTCATCTAACTCTAGCTAATTTTAATTTACCTTTTGTAGGGTGTTGTTGGGCGTTTTCTGCTGTTGCGGCAACCGAAGGAATTCATAAGTTAAGTACTGGAAAATTGATCTCTTTATCAGAACAAGAACTTGTTGATTGTGACACAAAAGGTGAGGACCAAGGTTGTGAGGGTGGTCTTATGGATGATGCTTTCAAATTCATCATTCAGAATCATGGACTCGACACGGAAGCCGAATACCCCTATCGGGGTGTTGAAGGAACATGCAATGCAAACAAAGCATCCATATATGCAGCTACTATTACAGGGTATGAAGATGTCCCTGCCAACAATGAGCAGGCGCTGCAAAAAGCTGTGGCAAATCAACCGATTTCAGTAGCCATTGATGCTAGTGGATCTGACTTTCAGTTTTACAAAAGTGGTGTTTTTACTGGTTCATGTGGAACTGAGTTGGATCACGGTGTCACTGCCGTGGGCTATGGTGTCAGTAATGATGGAACCAAATATTGGTTGGTTAAGAACTCATGGGGAACTGATTGGGGTGAAGAAGGATACATTATGATGCAAAGGGGAGTCGAAGCTGCTGAAGGCCTATGTGGCATTGCGATGCAAGCATCTTACCCTACTGCATAAATACCAAACTTAATACTTATGATACCTAAACTGTAATTCAGGCTAAACTGTGAGTGTGTGTGTGCTTATAGCTACATTGTAGATTCTATACATCTACTATTTATACTTGTACATTTATCAATACAATGAAGATATTAAGAACAAATCCTATCACTCACTCTTCTTTATAACTTGCAAATGGCTCTCACAAAGTATCTTTGTATTTCTGTCTTACAACTCCTGGCTTTTGGAAAATCCAAAACTTGTCTTAGACATAAAATCAAGTCAAACAGATATAAGAGGAAAGCTAAATTAATGAAAAATTATAGGCATGGGTTATTTATATATAAATTCCAAAAACTGATGCAAAACTTATACACACTCTTCCAAACATCACCCTAATCAAGAAGCAACATCAAGAATTACACTGTTACTATCATTCCCAAATCTAAATATTTTATTACTAAAATGAAGGGGAAAAAAAATCTTAACCAGGATTTTAGTGAACTATACAATGTGAATAAGAGCATCACATTTTATATTATTTAATTACCCTCCTCCTAAATATTCTTTAGTGTGTTGTGCAAGTAAGATAGACATAGGTGTTCTAACAAGTTTTTATTAGTAGATCTTTGGTTTCAATCATGGAAGAGTCAAAATCAAGAGTCATCATAGTGAGTATGGGTTCTAATGGCAATTTTCAAAGCTTGATGGCTAAATTTGGGAGAGATGGAGTTTGCAGATAGGAGCAATGTTTGGTTTTAATGTGTTGGAGATCATCATCAATGGCTATCCAGCATTACTTGAGGGTGAAACTGATGCAAAAAAAGATTGAGTTCAAGGAGAATAAGAGGATAGATACCAAGGCAACGTTTGAATGATGCTAACTTTGACATAGTTGTTGCTGCAACAAGCTCGTAACAGGTCTGGTATGAGATGCATAGGTACAGGTAGGGTATCTGGAAGGGTATGATACCCGGTAGGGGTACTAGTATTAGTACAGGATACGGTTGTATTAGTGGAGAACTAGATTGTTAAATTTCTAATAAAACATCACAATAAAAGTTTAAAAAATAAAAAATTTAGTTAAGTTACTGTAACAGATAAACTATGAACTCTGAAGGCCTTCAATTTTACATGAGTTGGTTTCTTGAGTTTCAAGCCATAATTGATGGTGAGTTTGAGATATCTCATGACTCATTTAAGTTGCTGAAAATGGATTTGTGTGGGATGGTGCATGAATTGTGACAGTTTATATTGATGGAAAATGAGAGGTTTGGCCTAGTCAAGTTGATATATTGCAAAGCTCCAATAATGTTGTGAAACATTTTGGAATAGGCGCATGCAGATCCGTCCACTAGTTGAAAGAGAGTGGAAATGCAAAGTGGAGTATGAGTGGGTTTTGCTCTAGCCATGTCAAATTTTTGTAACAAATTCCTGATATGTCCATGTTGGGAGAGAATCAAACCATCAGCAGTATGTATAAGTTCAACACCAGGGAAGTAATGTGTATAGTCAAGATGCTTTATGGAAAATCGATTTGAAAATTCCTTCATACATAATTTGAGATATATTGGATGGCTTCCTCTGAGAATTAAGTCATCAACATATACTAGCAGAAAAGCTTGTATACCTTCTTTGTTGTAGATGAACGAGGAGTAGTCACTCAAACTCATGGTAAAGCAGTATGTATAAGCCATATGATAGTACAAATTATTTGAGTGCATCATGTCATGCATGCGGTGTTTGTTTGAGATCATATATTGCTTTGCTTAATTTGCAAATGTGATTGGGAAAATCAGCATGAATGAAACTAGGTGGTTGTTGCATATATACCTCTTCACTTAGTTGACCTTGTAGGAAAGCATTATTAACGTCTAATTGACACAAAGACCAATCTTGGGCGAGAGCAATGGTAAGAATAACTTTGATGGTTTGAGGTTTAACTATAGAAGCAAAAGTTTCTTTGAAATCCAATTCAGGTGTTTGAGTGTAGCCTTTGACTACCAATATGGCTTTGTACCTAGATATACTACCATCTGGGTTTCTTTTAATACGAAAGAGCCACGTGCAGCCTACCAAATTTTTACTTGTGTCCTTGGGCACCAATGTCCATGTGACATTGTTTATAAATGCATTGAACTCTTCTGAACAAGCTTGTCTCTAAGGAGGAATTTTTAAGGCTTGAGTCATGGTTGAAGGTTCCAAAAGTACATTATGCTTGGTGGCAGCATAAATGCGTTTTGGTTTGAAAATATTGTTTTTGAAACGTGTAATGATAATATTTCCATTAGATGAGAACAATAAATGATAAAGGCATGGATGAAGAGGGAATAGGGTGAGTACCTTATATTGTTGTGTCAACTTGAGCAAGCGGAAGTTTTGATGCAGGGACCAATGGAGAAGTAAGATCATTAGCTGTGGAGTTTGTGATAGGATGCATCACTTGCTGCCCGCTTCGAAAATAAGGACCAATGGCCAAGCACTGGGGGTAGGGCTGGCAATGAACCAAACCAACTCGAAGATAGTTCGGAATTCGACTCGACAATTAAATCGTTGAACTAGGTTCATGAACCAAATGAGTTGAGTATGAGCAAAAAATTAAGTTCGTTAACTAAATGAGCTGAACTTGAACTATACATAGTTCGACTCGTTAGGTTCATGAGTCAACTCGATTACATATGAAAAGAATTATACTATCTTTAAGATTAGGTTTAAATATTTACTTCAAATCTTAGACAAATTTAATCTTCAATTTAGTAGTTTTTGAATTAGACTCTCAAATGTATCTCTTGAAAGTTGTGTAGGTTTTGAATTAGTAGATTTCGAAGATAAAGTTAAATTTCAAGATGATAACTTTTATTTTATTTTAATATTTTATTTAAAATATATATATTTATTTAAAATGTCAAATATACTAAAAAATATATATATTTAAAAAAATAGTTTTTAAGTTCGTGAACCATGTGAGATGAACCTAATGAGATGAACCTAACGAGTCGAACCGAACTGTTCGTGAACTTATAACGAGTCGAGTTTGAGCTTAAAAAAAAGTTCGTGTTAAACTCGAACTCGAACTCGAATTCGAATAATTCTTAACGAGTCGAGCCGAGCTGAGGTGAGTTCGACTCGACTCGACTCATTTCCAGCCCTAACTGGGGGAACTATAAAACACTATAAAACCCTCTCACTCCTCCTCTTTCACACCCAGCGTCACAGACGCTTTGCCCAGATTGCTTTCGGGATTACCGACTGACCCCACAAACTAACACGGGTCTTTTCAGCATGCTTTGTCCTCGATCACATGCTTTCCGGAAAACTTCTCAGAAGGTCTCGATCACATGCTTTCCGGGAAACTTCCCAGAAGGTCACCCATCCCTAAATTGCTCTAAGTCAAGCACGCTTAACTATGGAGTTCTTATGGAACGGGCTACCGAAAAAAAGATGCATTTTGTTGGTATAAGTAGTACCAATTAATTCATTAAGCCTTCCAGCTTCCGCTTGGTTCGTCCCCGAACCACATCGTACTGGAAGAGGTTTGGCTTTGATACCATTTGTAACGCCTAAGACTGCTTTTGGGATTACCGACTGACCCCACAAACTAACACGGGTCTTTTCAGCATGCTTTGTCCTCAACCACATGCTTTCCGAAAAACTCCCAAAAAGGTCACCCATCCCTAAATTGCTCCAAGTCAAGCACGCTTAACTATGGAGTTCTTATGGAACGGGCTACCGAAAAGAAGATGCATCTTGTTGGTATAAGTAGTACCAATTAATCCATTAAGCCTTCCTTCAACCATGCAGTCCTATACCTGCATAGCCTCTGGATCCCTCTCATTCTGATGTGAATTCAGTTTTCCCCTAGAAGCTTCTAGAAGTGTCTCATTGTCATGTCTCATGCACCGACAACCACTCCCTCGCCCACGGGTGTTACATGTAACCACTCTCTGTCCTCTCCGACCTCGGGTGTTATAGCTGGACTAGTTAAAGTAAAATAAGGGAATTAATTTTCAATGAACTTGACATGTCTGGAGGTGTATATACGACCTAAAACAAGCTCAAGGTAGTAGAAGGAAAATTGGGATAAGGAGTAACCGAGGATAATGCAGAGAGAGGATTTTTTTTGTAGTTTATATTTGGTATAAGGTACTGGGGAAACAAAGACATCTCTATTATAATCAGGTGGTTTATTAAATAAGACTTTATAAGGTGACTTCATGTGAAGGTTGGGGGTAGGCCTTTTATTTATGATATATATGGCTGTGTTGAAAGCAAAACTCCAAAGTTGGCCAGGTAGTTTAGCATGACGTAGCAGTGCTCTACCAGTTCCAACAATGTGTTAGTGTCGTCTTTCAACAGTACCATTGATTTCATGTGTGTGAGGAGGTGTGGTTAAGTGAGAGATGTCATGTGTTTTCAAGAAATGTTTTAATTTTAGAAACGTTCCACCATTATCAGAAAAGAAAGTAAGTATAAGAAAATTAAAATGTTTTTCCACAATTTTTTTGAATTGAGTGAAAATATTGAAAACATCTAACTAATTTTCATAGGGTACAACCATACGTACTTTGAGAAATGATGAATAAAAATGACATAATAGAGATAGTCATCTAATGATCTAATAGGAGCTAGGCCCCACACATCTGAATAAATGAGTTCTTAAGGTCTAGTACTTCTAATATGGTGATTTGAGAAAGGTAGTTTGTGACTTTTAGCATAGTAGCAAGAACTACATTCATGAAATGAGGGGAGTTTTATTGGTAATTGATGGTTGGCTATAATATGTTTCATAATAGCTGAAGAAGGATGTCCTAGTTCGTAATGTCATGTTAAGGTGAAGTGGAGATTGGTACTGAATGTTGTATGATTGTTGTGAGGAGTGATTTGACATGGCAACTGGTAGAGATCTTATTTAATTGGTCCTTGCAGCAGAGATTAACCCTATTTCAAGTCCTTCACAATAAAATGGAGGAGAAAAATTCAACATAACAATTGTTAGTTTTACATAGTTTGAAAACAAAAAGCAAATTAGGTTTCACGTTTGGTATACATAACACTTGATTGAGATGAAAGGATTTGTGTTTAGTGTTCAAACTAGTGTGACCAATGTGAGTAATTCCCGAACCCGTGCCATCACCAACTAATACTTTATCTGAATCGGGGTAGGAATCAGCCAAAGTGAGATACTCCAAATCTTGAGAAATGTGATGACATGATCTTGTGTCAATGATCCAGATAGGATGATATGGTGTAGGCTAGAGATTAGTTGTGTTTGCTTGAGGTTTGCCTCCATTTCTCCTAGTATAACCTTGATTTCGAAGAAATTTCTTGCAATATGATTATGTTTGCTACAATATTGACATACGACATGTGCTTCATTTGTTCAGATGGAAGTGTGTTCTATAAAGGACACCAAACCCAGAAGCATTTCTTTAAATGGTTTGAATTAGGATCTAGTTCTAATGGGTTATGTCTTATCTCCCATAATCAATTCCTCAGGATGTGAAGATATTTGTCTATGTTTCCTCATAGGCACTAGTGTGACAGTAGCTTCTAATTCTGATTGAGCAATTTTGTGTTTAGCGTTTTCAAAGTGTTTCACTTCAGATTCTTTGTCTTCAGAGTATGAGTATCTAATCTGCAAACTTGTCAACTAGTTTTGACTTGTCAAGGTCAAGCTTATCATCAAACTTGACATGAATTGATTCCACAAAAAATTCTTTTTTTAGTGTTGTATACTATATAGTCTTTTAAGCGTTTAAAGTATCATAACATGATACATTTTTTGGCTTTGTAATCAAACTTGTTCAAGTTCTCTTTAGTATTTAAAATAAAACATGAAAACCAAATGGATGAAAATAAGAAATGTTGGACTTTATGTTCTTCCACAATTCATAGGGAGTCTTACCCAAAATAGGTCTTATTGAGATATTGTTCTGAATGTAACACGCTATGTTGACTACTTCTTCCCATAAGTGCTTTGAAACATTTGTTTCATTGGTCATGTTTCTAGCCATTTCTTGCAACGTGTGATTTTTCTTCTCTGCAACTCCATTTTTTTAGGAGTTCTAGGGCAAGAGAAATCATAGAAAATGTCATTTTCATCAAAATATTTTCCAAAGTCTTTGTTTTCAAATTCCCCACCATGATCCCTTTTGACTTTAACAATTTTAAAGTCTTTCTCATTTTGCACTTAGGGGTATAAAGTAGTAAACACAAAATGTGACTCATCCTTGTGTTTTAGGAACTTTACCCAGGTCCATCTGATGTAGTCATCTACAATGACTAATTCATACTTTTTCCATTGATATAGGTTGTTTTCATTGACCCAAATAAGTCAATGCGCAAAACTTTTAAAGAATTTTTTATTTTCAGATCCTTGTACCTTTTTTGAAGACTCTAAAACTTTTAAAGAGTTTCAGTTAGACAAGACTCTACTTCAAAATGGGTTAAGTTGGAGAATACCTCATTAGAGTTTGATTCTGATTGAGATTCAGATTCAGATCCAGATCCATAGTCAGATGCTTTTGTGATTGCCATCAATGCCTTGTTGTCTTGCTCTTCTTTATAATCACCTTCTAAAGACTCGGAGTCATCCTATGTAGCCATCATAACCTTCTTCTTATCTTTGGAAAAAAAATTAGGTTTTTCTTTCTTTAACTTGGGACATTCATTCTTGTAGTGGCATGACTTCTTGCACTCGAAACAGATGACATTTTTGTCAACACCAGACTTCTTCAGTCCAGATGATGACTCAAGGCATCCACATGTTCTCATGTTTCCTCTGGGCTTCTTTTTTCGCTTTCTCCAGAGTTGATTGACTCTTTTGGAAAGAAGAGAAAATTCACATTCTTCATCAGAATCATCTTCGGATTCTTCTTCTTTCAGCTTGAAATGGCTTTTCCTTTTTTGTCTTGCCTTTGGACTTAATAGCCACGAGTTTTCCTTTTCTTTGAGGCTCATCCTCTTCCAGCTATATCTTATGACTTTTTAAAAACTAACAAGTTCTTATAGAGTCGTACTTTTCATATCTTTGGACACTTTAAGAGCAGTCATCATAGGCTTTCACTTCTTTAGTAAGCTTCTGATGGTCTTCTACATGTGATCTGCAGTAGTGTAACCTTTGTTTAAGACCTTTAATCCAGCTACAAGCGTTTGAAATCTTCATAACATGTCCTCGTTAGTTTCATCATCCTCCATTTTGAAGGCTTCATACTTTTGAATCAAGGCAAGAGCCTTGGTTTCTTTCACTTGTTCCTTTCCTTCACGAGTCATTCTAAGAGAATCAAATATAGACTTTAAAAAGTTTTTATTTGTTATAAAAACTTCTAATAAAATATTATTTTAAATATTTTATCTTTTTACTATAATTTTTTAAAACTAATAAAATTTTAAAATAATCATTCAAATTTAAAATTATTTCAAATAACTTTTTGTAAAAAAAAATATTTGTTAGAAAATCTATGTGATTTTGATTATATTTAAAAATTTTAATAATATTTAACTTATTGAATATTAAAATTACTCTTTAGATGCATTACAAATACGTTTATAATATTTCATTTGGATATGCTTAAATTAAGCCTTTAGCAGGCACATAAGTTCATTATATAGTCAAATTCTCACTTTCATAATCCAAAACTTTTCCATCGCACATGGCGTTGTAACTAAGGCTCAGAATCAACAAAATTCTCCCAGGCACGTTTAGTCAATCATAGAAGAGAATTTTGTTTTAAGTTTGTAAACTGAAATTGAGTTTTGTTTTGCCTATTATAAATAGCACTTTATTCTTGGACTACAAGCACCACACATCTTTCGCACATTTAACTGCTAACTAATCAACCATAAAGCAGTTATTTGTTCTCATCATTCTCACACACCACTACCTACGATGGCTGCCACTGATCGTCTATATCATATTTCACTGGCACTGCTTTTTTGTTTGGGATTATTAGCTATTCAAGTCACTTCTCGAACTCTCCAAGATGGTTCAATGTATGAGAGGCACGGGCAATGGATGAGTCACTATAACAAAGTCTATAAGGATCATCAAGAAAGGGAGAAACGTTTCAAAACATTCACAGAAAATGTGAATTACATCGAAGCTTTCAACAATGCTGAGAATAACAAATCATACAAACTAGGCATTAATGAATTTACAGACCTCACTAACGAGGAGTTCATAGCATCTAGGAACAAATTTAAGGGACATATGTGCTCCTCAATCACAAGGACAACTACTTTTAAATACGAAAACGCAAGTGCAATCCCTTCTACAGTGGATTGGAGAAAGAAAGGGGCAGTGACACCTGTGAAGAACCAAGGATAATGTGGTAAATATCTATCTTAACAAGTAATGCATTTAATTCTACATGTAATAATAAACTTGACTGTCATCTAACTCTAGCTAATTTTAATTTACCTTTTGTAGGGTGTTGTTGGGCGTTTTCTGCTGTTGCGGCAACCGAAGGAATTCATAAGTTAAGTACTGGAAAATTGATCTCTTTATCAGAACAAGAACTTGTTGATTGTGACACAAAAGGTGAGGACCAAGGTTGTGAGGGTGGTCTTATGGATGATGCTTTCAAATTCATCATTCAGAATCATGGACTCGACACGGAAGCCGGATACCCCTATCAGGGTGTTGACGGAACATGCAATGCAAACAAAGCATCCATCTATGCAGCTACTATTACAGGGTATGAAGATGTCCCTGCCAACAATGAGCAGGCGCTGCAAAAAGCTGTGGCAAATCAACCGATTTCAGTAGCCATTGATGCTAGTGGATCTGACTTTCAGTTTTACAAAAGTGGTGTTTTTACTGGTTCATGTGGAACTGAGTTGGATCACGGTGTCACTGCCGTGGGCTATGGTGTCAGTAATGATGGAACCAAATATTGGTTGGTTAAGAACTCATGGGGAACTGATTGGGGTGAAGAAGGATACATTATGATGCAAAGGGGAGTCGAAGCTGCTGAAGGCCTATGTGGCATTGCGATGCAAGCATCTTACCCTACTGCATAAATACCAAACTTAATACTTATGATACCTAAACTGTAATTCAGGCTAAACTGTGATTGTGTGTGCTTATAGCTACATTGTAGATTCTATACATCTACTATTTATACTTGTACATTTATCAATACAGTGAAGATATTAAGAACAAATCCTATACGTATACTACTTTTGGAAAACTCAAAACTTGTCATCGAAGCAGCATTGGTTTAGGTTTTAGACTTATAATGCAAGTCAAACAGATATAAGAGGAATGCTAAATTACTGCAAATTATAGGCATGGGTTATCTGTTAATAAATATATTCAGAAACTGATGCAAAACATATACAAACTCTTTCAAACATCACCTTAATCAAGACTATTCCAGCATCTCCATGGAGAATAGCGACTACCAAACTCATGAAACTTCTTTCCTATGTATTTGGTAGGTTGTTGAGCTTCCAAATCCCCCCAGCTAATGAAGAGATAGCTGAAATCTGCTGAAAACTGAAAAACTCATCAACTTTGATATCACATTCCAAACAAATCAGCCATTTTACAGTGTTTTGAGATTTATTACTCAGACACAATCAAGCTTGCACAAAACAAACAAACAAGTATTGTTTCTCAGTTTGCATGTTTTGTAACCCATTAACAAGTTTCAAACATGCATTTCTTCAACTTTTAGACTACAAAATAGATGAGAACATCAATCTGCACTTTCTGATAATGCAACCGCACATCTGTGGTGCAACCATGTTAAACGTTTATTCTTTTTGAGAGACAAAAATATTTCCCTTGCATTAGGTTTGTTGAAAATATCTAGAGCAGCAAAATATATCCTTTGATCAACACCTTGCATTAAATCTAATTCCTTAATACAGTCAGAAATGTTGTATTTAGAGTTACGTTGCTCTATAGCAGCTGCCCTCATCTTTGAAGCAGATGCCATCTCCAATATAGCATCAGCAATAGCATAATCAACTCCTTTACGCCCTCTTTTGCGACTACTGCAAGTTGCTGTTGGTGTAGTAGGTTGAACTGTTGGAGTGTAATTTGAATTTTCCTCGTCATCATATTCAGATGAAGACTCCTCTTGGTGTGTGCTCAAGAACTTTGGACAAGGAGCTCCAGGAGTATGTTCACCTTCAGACGTAGCTAAAAATTCATGCTTTCCGTTCGTTGTTGGTTCAGAGAATATTGTACATAGCTCCTTAAAGATTGGACAGCCACCAATTTTTATGGTCTCAGCATCGGGATGATTCTGTAATTTTCCAAGAGTTAGGTCAAGTATGTAATGAAGAACGGAAAACAGACCGTGCCTAAGTGCAATAGAACTTCGATACCAAAACAGAAATACAGCAGAAATGATTTGGCTCCTCTAAAGTGAGGAAAAATTGAGGATAACATACCTTGATGTATTCAGCCCAAATTTCATCGTCCGCCCTTATGGATCCTGTGGCTTCATCCCAAATAAACTCACCTTGATCGAGAATGGACTTCACGATAGCATACTGCCTCCTCAACACAGAATGTCGGTTTTTGAGTTGCTCCCTGTCCCATTTCAAACCTGTTTTGTTGTAAAATCCATCACATATATATTTCCACGCTTTCTTATTGAACGAATTGTTTTGTTTATTCCCTTTGTGTACTTGGTCAACCATCAAATCTGCCAGTATCTTAGTGAGTGATGTTGTCCACTTAGCCCTCGACTGTTCCAGCTGCTGAGTTTCTAGCCTTCTTGACCTAGTAATATGGCCTGCCATCTATGTTTTAACTAACATAAGTACTCCAAAAAGACGATTATAACTCAAACTCCACACAGGAACACGAAACTCTACATGCATACAGTGATAAATCAAAAGATTCAAAACCTCATAATTAAGGAAAAACCCAATAAGAGTATGATACACTGTGGCAGTAGACATAGAAAATGGCAAAGAAATAAACTTTATACGATTCAAAGTCATGGGAATCAGATGCATGTTAACTCAAGCATGATTCTACGTTGACTGGAATCATTACATAAAATAAATTGATTCAATACTCTCTAATAAAGACAATTACTGCATAGTTTTTTAGCTTATTCAAAACCCTAATAAAGCAGAGAGAAGAAAGTAGAATTACCTGAGAGAAACAGAAATCTCTCCGATTACAATTGAGCCTTCGGTGAGGTTATAGCAAGGGAAGTAGAAGGGGAAACCTTGTAAACAACCCCGTTTGCCAATAATAAAACAAAAGGTTTAAATAATTTTTGTCATTAAATTTACAATTTTTATTTTTCATCCCAATAACAAAAAAAAAACATATTTTAATATTCCAAAATATATTCAATTAATACACTTATGACTATTTAGATGGATTATTTGACCTTATCTATTATTTTATGTTTATGAGATTGTTTATTAAATTTTATAAAATAATTAATGGCGTTGTTTTTCAAAATGTTTTTAACATATTAACATAATTTTTTATGAAAAAAAATATAATAATTTATTTACAAGCAATTTTACTTTTTTTACACTAGCACAGAATACTTATTTTTAAGTACTTAGACTATAAATTATAAGAAAATATACTATTTTTTATTATTTATGTTCAGTTTTTTCTTTGTGTTTCATTTAATGGTTGAGAGTTTATCAAAAACCGATAAATAAATAAATAAATGATTTTGAAAAGAGTGATAAGATATTGATGAATGGTTGTTATGAGCGCATAACAACAGGAAGGAATGGACAGAAGAGGATCCGGATCCAAATTATAATATGGTTGTAGAATAAAGAAAATTTACGGATATTTTTTTGTTGACATGTGTAAAAAAATTGTTGGCTTAAATAGGTTATTCATCCATGTAAATTGTCGAGATTTTGGTTTTCATTCTTGTGTTTTTTTTAATAGTCGATAAATGTTGATATCCATTTGGTTTTCATCCTTGGCGCCAAAATTTCATTACAAAAAAGACAACATGGCAAACAATGTTGATGAGACTTTTGACGTTGCTAAACTGCAAGGGCACGGTTATGTCAAGTAGTACAAAAAAATCGAATCCACATAGATGTATGATTACCGAATTTCTATTCTAACTTTGTTTATCTAAATCGATCGCAAAAGTGTTTGTTTAGTGCACATTGAAATTGAAATTAGCAAATAATAAAGAAAGGACATGATGTTTGTGGTTGTCTATCTAGACTCACCCCAATGATCACCCAATGCTTGATTACAAGATTATTTAAGAGTTTTTATAGAAAAAGTAGATAAAAGTGTGTGTCACCCACTTTCGTGGCGTGCGCAATCTAGACATGGTTCTTGGTATAGATAAACAACTTTCTTAATAGAAAGTGAGTCACCTTGTCACAGTGTGCGCCTCGTTGCTCTATACTTTATATATTCGCTATCAGACATTGATTTTATTTCGGATTATGATCGTGTTTGTGTTTCCTTTGCTTTTGCAACCGACATAGACGTGTTGAGGGAGCAGTGTTGAGGGTCAGCTTGTGTCAGTCTTAACTTCTTTGTATGGGAGTAGTGTAAAAGGCCAACATGGCCCGTGTTAGGTGACCTTTTTCGCTCCAATTTGGTCAATTACCCTCTTATTACTTGAAAGCATAAAAAGAATACAAAAGCGCATAAAATCGAACTAAAACGATGAAAACACATGAAAACAGAAAGAAAGCAATCTAGAAATATGATGCATTTACCACTTATCAAATACCCTGAAACTTAAATTGTTGATTGTCCTCAACTGATAAGCTTGCTTAGAAAAAATTAGTATCAAACGGTTTTAGTTATTCAAAAACTTAAACATTGAAATCATTGATACCCATATGTGGCTTGTTGTTCCGACCGGCTAAGACCTAAGTTCCTTGTACTCGCTAACACCAAAAGCATTACAAGAACATAAAACCGTAAAGAAGGTACAGTCAAAAGTTTTCTATTTTGGTCACCTCTCTAGTTGTGCTTTGGACTTAAGTCTCTTTTTCGATTTTCTTTGTCTTTTGTTCAAACAAACAAATTAAGGCAATTGGAATTATGATAATCATCACACGTACAAGATCGGTCATTTTTTTTTTACATCAGATAAGCAATTACTTGCTTTATTTATTTGAAGATGAATTTACACACATTTGTGTGTTTATTTTTATTTGACGTTGGAATTTAACCGGGTGAGGGTTACCCAACTTAGAGGACACATTTGTCTTTTATTGCCTTTTTTTCATCTTTTTGGTGTTTATATTTTTTTCATCTTTTTTTCTCTCAATAAATCATACATACATTTGAATCAAAAATATCTCACACTGTCAAAATAAACTACTCGGTAAATACTTCTCATAATGCAAGTATTGTGGTACAAAATACACGCTAAACTCACAATCTACTCGAGAAACTAAAGGTGTTCGGGTAATACTGATTTTATCAGTTTTCCACAAACCCCTAAAATTAGCCAATCATTACTTGAATCATATATACTTTCTCATATATTTTTCAAAATCAAAAGCTTTTTTCAACAAAAAAAATTAACAACTCAATTTTTGGGGAATTTTGATAATAATACATGCAATTTATTCAATCAAAACTATCCTAACACCACAAAACACATAATAAACAGATAAAAATTAAATCCCACTAAATTTAAACCATACATTGGCCTCAATTTTCCAATTAAAGTGGAGGAAGGTAAGAAGAAACTCACAAACACCTCAATGACGAGGTGGGAAGCGCAACAGCGGATGAATGCAACATAAAATGAAATTGCAAAAAGAAACAACACAAAATGCATAAGCAATTAAAAGTGTGGTTTCTCTCTCATGAAGCATTTTGCTTAACATCCTTTTAGCTTGACGGTCCATGATTGTAAGCACTCATGGTGGTTCCTTCAAATATGACTCCTCAACCGTACTCTCAATAGTCTTAGGTGCCCATGCCCACACACTAACCCATCTCTCATATCTATTACTTTTCCTTTTCTTCTTTCTATGGGGTGGTTCATACATCTGAACTTATGGGGGTGGTTATGGTTCTATCCTAAGTATCAGCTTTTTGAGTTTGGCTTTAATCCTTTCATCCTCCACCTTAAAGGTCAACCTTCCCTTTTTAACATCAATAATTTCTCCAGTTTCATGGTCCTCTAATTTTCTCTTTTTAGACAAGACCTCTGTCGATGGTACATTGGTGTGGATCTTTTCCAATATTTTCGCATGCCTTTTGGATAAGACCCTTACCTTAGCCTCTATAAATCTTTACGGGAAATAAATCGGTGGCTTGTAGAGAGGAGGAGAAACATAAGGTGTTTTCTTCTCTACCTCTTAGATTACCTCCTTTTCAGGTGGTATTGGTGGACTTTTTATCTCTACCTGTTTCTCACCAGAACTCTCATCAACCTCTTTATCATTTCCTTAGAATTTTCAACCTGTTTTCCACTTCTGATTGTTACAACATTCACATGTTCCTCGGGGAAGGGTCCTAGAGGGATGTGTGCAAGCTGGGAGATTTAGGTCTCCAATTCCTTTATGTGAGTCGTGAGGGACTTAACCATAGTGTTAAGACGCTTAAGGAATTCACTAATATGGAGATTTTGGTTTCTAAAATCATCATTATGGAAAGTTTATATAGCCACAAAACTCTTCGTCATAGATTCTAGGTTAGAGCGAGTTTGAGTTGCAATAAAATTATCCATTAATGGTTGGAATGTTGGAAATTATGTGGTTCCTTGGTATACTGATGGTGGTTATTGATGAGAAAAAATTGGTGGTCTATCAGCCCTAGATCATAGGTATTGGGGTAAGGGTTTCCATGGTTATTAATCAAATAATTATTCGTCTCTTTCCCAAATTCTTCCTGAAATTCCTCAAGAGGTGTATCATTCCCCCTTCACTTTGACTTGCTTCTCTAGCTCTTTGACCAAAATTTCATCATCTCAGTGGAATACATCATAGTCTTCTTCTTTTCCCTAATACTTACACTCCCAATATTTTCTACTTGTTTGCATTTGACTTGGAACAAACATCTTCATAGCAACATTATGTTAGCCCGAAGGGGTTTTTTCGAAAAATGGCCCAAATGGCAGGGGAAATAGCTATTAACCCATTAATGAATGAAGTTGAAGATTTTGCAAAAATTATTGAATTTGTCTAGTTAAAATGGCATAAATGGTTAAGTACATAATGCAAAAGTTGCATTCAAATATTTCTATTTAATGAATGTAAAATGTTTAAATGTTATAATCAAATGTTAGTGTGTACTTGTTTGTTGTCCTTGTATGTTTGGGACTTTTTTTATTTTCGTCCTTGTATCTTAACAAATGAAGATTGAGATTTTGCAAGAATTGCACAACCTGTTTGGATAGAAATGCACAAATTGAACTTGTCTTACATAGTTAAGATGCATATAACCCAAAAGGCATATGATCTTGTCATCCAAATACATATGAGCTTGTCTCAAAATACATAGGAAATAGGTTTCAAATTACATAACAAAGAGGTTTTAAGATGCATTTAAATTTGTCTCAAAATAAAATAACAAATAGGTCTCAAAATACATAGATATATAATCCTAACTACATCACTAAGATGCTTCATATCTACAAATTCAAAGGTTGTGTTAGATCATTTCCTTCTCCCTTGAGGTTTTTGCATTTTAAAACCCTTGTTTTATCATTTCTCCTTGCTTCCTTCAAGTTTATCATTCTTGCAACCTTTGTTAGAATTTATTCTCATGCATAACAAAACAAATATGTATAAACAACATGATATAAACATATGTGCAAAAA